GTCCGGCGGGGAACACTGGGCGCGGATGGTCGTGGTTGAGGTCCGGCAGGGAACACTGGGCGTGGATGGTCGTGGTTGAGGTCCGGCAGGGAACACTGGGCGTGGATGGTCGTGGTTGAGGTCCGGCGAGGAGGAGAAGAAGAAGGAGGAGGAGGAGAAGTCAGCTAACGTAAAATCTAACAACCCTCACCTGGCAGGTGGGGAACAAGAACAGCGATATAATGTTACAATATGTGATATGTTTCTTCTCCGGATAGCCATAGCTATGGGATTCTTACTTTAGATACTTTAAGTAGAAATGAGTTGGCTGCGCGTGCTTTCGATGGCGCCGGTGCTGCGAACTGGGCTGCGCACGCTTTTGAGACGGGCGGTCGGGAAAACGTATTAATATACAGTATACATGACCCGTAGTTGCATTTCCCCAAGCAGTGTGGACACGCTAGGGGTTCTGCGCGGGCGTGTCCGGCTAATTCGCTGCTATTTACGGTGCGTTCGTGCCTCTCGAAGTCGTCGACGTGCATTTCGACTGGCTCGCGAAATCTGGGTGGCTGGAGCGGGCGCTTCTCGCGACCGCGTTCTCGTTGCGCATGTTCCCACATGGTGGTCACTTTTCGTGACTGGCGCAAGGGATCGGAGCGGCTTAACTTCGAAATGCAGATTTCGTGGTAGGCGCAGGACATGGCGGTGATCTTCGACGCGCTCTGATTTCGTGACGGGTGCAGTGAATCGCGACTTTTGGACACGTGGCTCGTTTGCAGCTTTCGTGGCAGGCGCAGTACTTTGCGGACCTTGAAGTGCAGATTTCGTGCGCGCGCGCAGCACTTTGTGAACCTCGAAGTGAAGATTTCGTAGCAGGTGCAACACTTGGCGAACCTCGAAGTGCAGATTTCGTGGCAGGCGCAGGACTTCGTGAAAACCTCGATGCGCAGATTTCGTGCCAGACACAGCGCCTTGTGAAAACCTCGAAGTGCAGATTTCGTAGCAGGCACGGCGCCTTGTGAACCTCGAAGTGCAGCTTTCGTGGCGCGCGCAGCACTTTGTCAAACATGAAGCCTTGAAGTGCAGATTTCGTGGCAGGTACAGCACTTTAGGAACCTCGAAGTGCAAATGTCGTGGATTTCGTGGCGCGCTCTCACACACACTCACACTCATTCTCACTCACACTCACTCTCACTCACACCCACTCACTCACTCACTCACTCTCACTCTCACTCTCACTCTCACTCTCACTCTCACTTTCACTCTCACTCTCACTCTCACCCACCACCACCGCCACCATCACCACGATCTCCACCTTCATCATCACCATCACCTTGCTGGACCCCAATGCGTCTAGATCTGTAGACTTTCTGCTACTACACCTCAAGACCTCACACACACACTGTTTGGGGTCTCTTGCCGGGATAATTGTATTTCTTATTAAGGTTTCAAAAGTACCAAAATCACAACCTATATAATTGTCAAAGCGCTGAAGCCGCCAGGCGCCCAATCTTTTCCCTAGGCCATGGATGGTAAAAAGACCTGTCAGGTCGGATACAGCTACGGCCCCTAGGGTTGGGCCAAGAGGTTCCACGGACGGTGGATTGGTGTCAAGCTACACAGCCGTCCGTCATGCTGGTTTCACAATCCCCCAAAATGTTTTTGACACCAATCCCACGCAAGTCAGAGTTTGTCTTCCCTGACTGCCTTGCGCTCTCACGGAGCGACATCTGCTCCTCTGTGGAGCGGATGCTAAAAACTCCCTTCCGGAGCACTTCGCGAAGTGCCTCGTTCGAGCCGCCCACCTTCGTCAAGCCGTCTGCTAGCGTGGACTTGTGGTCCACCCACTTCACCTCACCGGCAATGGTGCGGAGGTCTTGCCGGATGATCTGGATCTCGATCGCAGTTCTTTTGTCCGCCCCTCCAACTGGGTTTGCCCATCCCTCGGCAGGTGTTTCTCCACCGGATTGATTCTCCGGATGGGCCTCCTGCTCGGGTTCTGTGATGGACCTTCGCCTCTTTCTTGTCTTTCCTGGACTTCAGCTTCCGGCGGTTCGTACTCCGTCGGCTCATACTCTTCTGCTTGAGGCTCGAATCGAACTCCTCTCCGCAAGGGAGGTTCTTCTTCTTCGGCCCTTTCTTCTTCGGGGCTTCCTTCTTCCGTGATGTCCTTGTAGGCTGCGCGATCTGGATTTCTTTGGAACTGTTCGATCAGATCTTGGCGCTCGGTGATCACCGCCTCGATGCCCATGCGCTCGTCGTTGGTGGCATGTCTGCATTGTTCTCTGGACACCTTCCATAGTTCTCCCATCATTGACGCCCATAGATTGGCTCCATCTGGGGCGATTACCACTCCTGGGCCGACCCATCTTGCCTTGGTGCCATGCTGCATGGTCATCGGGCATTCCATGCCTGCTCTTTCGGGCCTTTGGGGCTCGGAAGACATACACGTACTCTCCGGCCTTGAGTTCTCACGACACTCGAGGGCGTGAGCGGAGTGCCCGTTTGATCGTGGAGTCCGCATTGTATTCGCAGAAGGCTTTGCGAGCGATCCTTC